GTGGCAAAAGAAGCTTAAAACTTAAAATAATAATGAACTATATGACACCTTCACTAGACCAAGAAAAACTTTCAAATATGGCCATTCTCTCTATAGAACATGAGTTAAGTAATCAAATAGATTTTGAAAAAATATTGATGATTTTTTTCTTTAAAATTAAGAAAAAATGAATAATAAATATGCTTGAAAAGTTTATGCCATAAAATTTTAAGCAGACGTTTTATTTATACCACTTACTATTATTTGCCTTTTATTTTTAATGTTTTCCATTTCAAAATTGTTAATCATCATATTTGTTTCACTTTGTGGAATATATAGAGTTATAATTAAATATTACTGTAAGACTTATTGTATTTTCTCTTGAAATAGTTACTTTTAATGTGCAGAAAATATATATAAATATAGTTAATTTGTTCTATATATATGATTATATATACATATATGCAATAATGCATATATGTATATATATATATGCACTAATGCATATACATATATATTGTATATATATACATTGCGCGTGTTTGTATAAAGTTATGTTTTCAAACATCATTTAGTATTATTTATTTATTCCCCCACCCCACAAATAGGTAAATAAATAATCTTGCATTGTATCCAGGGGCGCACATTTGCCGCTTTGCCTCAGGTGAAAAAATATGTAGGCACGGCTCTGCACATGGAAATATTATAATTGCAAAAAATTTCGGTATCATATTTCAACGAAAATATCCATTTTGATGTTCCCCAATCCATTTGGGCGGTTTTTGCGGTGACGTCTATACGCTGTCCTTTATTCTGTGCGTACGTAGAAATGTCACGCACAGAATAAAGGACTTTTTCCAAAAGGGGTTGTAAAATGGACTTAAGAGGAATTCATTAGGGATTTTTTCGTGATATCTGTACGTACGTATGTACGGATCACGCATAACTCAAAAACGATTAGCCGTAGAAGAAATTTTGTATATAGGACTGCTATAACATCTAGTTGTGCACCTTCCCTTTTTATTGCATTCGGGAGTATCAAATATACATATATATATAATATATGAGTATATATATATATATATATGTAGCATTTTAATTGCGTAGGAATAATCCGATACTTTGGCTGTAGACAGGACTGAGTGGAAAGGCATACAGAAGATAACAAAACTGGATTTTTACGAATCACTAACCTTTATTTTCGCACATATCAAATCATATCTTACTAGATAAGATACTTCTAGATCATAAGCAATTACAATAGTTTTTATATGCACATTACGTCATCTTAGAATAAGAACAAAGAGGGTATTTAGTATTTACACTAAGTATGATGCTTAAGTAAGTTGCTTGCGAAGATTATTTATAGTAAGTATGTACAGCTAATCTGTGACTGGTTAATTTTAGTTTGTTATGTAACAAGGAAAGATCTCGAATTAGGGAGAACAGACAAACTTAGGGGGGAGAACATCAAGTTTAGAATAGTTAATTTTGAGGTCGCCAATCGTTTCTTAAAGCAGCCATCGTATTTCATTTTATCTTACATATACAAACAAGTAAAAAAAAAATCATTTTTTCACAGACGATTCAGCACTGCATACCTAATGCGCATGCGCTTCTCGTAAACATTCTCCTGTGTCCGAAACAGACTGACCATAGTATTTTATGCTATTCTGAAACACCTATTTCCTCGAATTTCTCATTCAATTAATATATATAAGATAAAGAGAAAGCTACTTGAATATATCTCAGTACTCCGAATTCACGATGAACTACCAATTCGCAACAACAACAACAACAACAACTAAAAGCAAATGATCTCTCCACTCCGGCCGCCGAGATAATTCTAGTCCTTTTTGCTTCTCGAAATTACTCGAAGGCAATATGAGGGTCGAATTACGGTTACAGCTAATATAGTGATCAATTACGTTTATTCAATTACAATACCTATTACGGTGGTACAGGGACCAAACCAAAACGTCACCAAATAAACTCAAGTTTGACGACCTTAGCGATTTCTCGCCAAATTTGGCGACAGTGGCTTAACCTGTTGCCATCTTGGCGATATCTCGCCAGATTACCGAGATACCCATTCACTCAACTGCTAAACAGACTTGCCCTTGTGTTGTTACTTTACCGGCATAACTTGTCTCTCTCGATTTTTCATGTTACATTATACAGAAAAATACAACAATTTCACGTATAATTGCACTAAAATCATCTGTTTTGTGTACAAAATTCATTATACTATTACGACAGAGGTTTATGCAATCGAGGAAGGAAGGAAGAAGCTTTGAGAACCATAAGGAATTTCGAAAGGGCGAAAATTTGGCTCTCTGGTACCCAGTGATTCACTACATTGATCCAATAATAATAATAAAAAAAAATTGACTCTGTTTTATTAAACTGTAATTCTGTAAAAATTTTATGATTTATAAAGAAAAAAGCAGATTAACTTATTGCATCTACCAAAAGAACTGAATTATAAATCTAAAAGCTTTAACTGCAATTATTATGACGCGCAGTTATTAAATCTGTTATTTTCGTTCTTTCCAGTTTGTCTAAGATCTCTAATAAATTCACTGGCCTTTGGCTGAAGCATTTGACTAGATATTGGCAGATTATGGGTTCTTTTGAGCAGCGAATATTTTCAAAATCCCTATGCTCCATTTTCAACTTTTCCCTCTCACCCAAATTTTTCCATGAGCAAAAATAACAGAGTTTTGATTTTTTTTCTATTGTTTTAACTGCAGATTTGGATAAACTGAATTTCTGACAGCTATCAACTTGGCTGCATCCATTTTATATTTTTGAATAATGTTCATCTAATCTTCAGCGCAGAAGTTTTATATTTTACAGCATACCATGAGGATGAATTTTTGACACAGAAACAAAATGTAGAGAGCTTGGTCAAAGAATGTGTGATAGTTTTGTTCTTCTGGAAGGAGGACATATCTTATTCAGTATTCTGTAAAAACACAATTATTTCTACTAAGCTATGTATCGTTGCAAAACAAACATTCACAAAAAAAAAAAAAAAAAAAAAAAAAAAAAAAAAATCTGAAAGGTTTCAGACTTTAAATTACTTCCAAAGGGGCGTTTTTTTAACGTTTTGTGTGTTACTTTTGTTTATTAAATATCATGTTCTTCACACTTAAATCATACAATTCAGTTCAAGAGCAATATTGCAAAATAATTTTAAATTGAGCATAGCTTAAGGATTTCTGATACACCGTCTCACGCGCTGGAGATAAAAATGTTTTTTCGGTACAACATTGCCATTGCTAGCTTTGAAATCCTTGAGGTAGTTAATCAAAAATTCGTTAAAGTTTTACAAAATATGCAATCGATAATAAAACAAATTCCAAATTTGGGCTTCCAGATGCCCATATTTGCAGTAGGATTACTTCATTCAAAATTGGATGTCTCTAGGTACCGTTGTTTTATCATAATGCGAGAAACATACATACATTTATGCAGATTTTTCATTATTTAATTTATTCAAATATAATACAGGGAGTTAATATTTGGTGGCAACAGTCTGAAAAGTGAAACGGACATTCAGAGTGATTCGACGCATAATCGCAAAACGAAAAAAATAGTCCTTCAGGGACAAAGCCCCTTTGCACTTATAATATATATCTAAAATATGTCTTGCGAAACTCACAAGGAATACAAAAACCGTATTCGGAAGATAAAACTTGAAGAGTATATATGCTCGAGTAAAACAAGCCAATAAGGATCAACATTTTTTATTCGCTATAAAACGAATCAACTGTAAAACCGCAAGGACATTAGGTTCACTACTACTTTTCCTGAAGAGCGAAATTTCAAAATTTCCGTCATAAAATCAGCCTTAAATAGAATTCTGTGTGGCTGCTCAATCAAAGAATTTGAATAGAATCAGAGAATTCATTAACTATTTTTTTTTTTTTTCATTTAGAGATCATGTACACCATATGGTGTCCTAACATATGCTAATTCTATTCTCCTTCTCCAAGGGCATTACACCTATCTCGTGTAGCCTTCGTTTAACACAGTGGAGGTGAAGATAAAAGGAAAATAACGTAAAGGTATTTACTTTAACGGATGGTTAATTTGTTTACTTTTATGGCAAAGCACACTAAGGCTATCTGCCTAGAGGAATGCCTTATTGGAGGACTTTCTAAAAGAAACTGGCTTGTTTATACGTCACTGCGGAAAACTACAAAAACGTCCATGCAGCCAACCCGTTCGCCTGATTCGAACCCAAGTCGGAACTACCAGTGTTCAATGATTTTACCGCTCGGCGTTTTATTTGATTTTCATACTCTTAGAGATTTGCTATAACAGTATAAAACAACTTAAGTGTATGGAAAAGTTTCATTTATCCAGGCGTGTGTTGTAAGCGAGATTTGTTATATCGGGGTCCGACTTATTTAAAATGAAGTGCTCCAGAAAGATTTATTTTGAGCATTTCATTATTTTATAGCTGACAAGGAGAAATTGACAAAATTAAAAAGATGACTTAAGGAAGACTGCAAATTAAAGCTAGATTTTTTTTCTTATCTTACGTAAGGGGGAAAGGCTTTGGTAGTGGACTACGCGAGCGTACGGTAAGTCGTACGCGTTGCATGTGACACGAGCCACCTAAGAAATCATAAAATTTTAAAACAGTTAATTTGCTGGCAGAAAACTGTACCTGGGATAAATTAACAGGGTTTAGCAGTTTTAACCATTCGCCTGCTAGTAAATTATTGCTTGCCTGACAACAAATTGAACTCTTGAAATTAAAAAATAATAATAATAATTGCGGAAATATTTTTTTTGTCACAGTAAAGAGTTGTCATAGCTTCTCGATTTATCTTTAAGTGTCCTTGGGTAAAGAAACTAAGAAAGATAAGCATTAACATACGAATGCTTAATCAAGCAAGCAAAAAATGCTTCTCCGGATCACGTCATTTTTTTCCCCCTCTTCCCATTTTTATTTTAATTCTTATCAAAGTTTATAGGCAATGTATTACATCAAATAGCAATATTACCTATGGTAAACTCTTGTTTCAAATACTCCTGGCTATGAATGGCATTTGATATGAAGAACAGGAGCTTTAAGTGTCAATCCTTCTCCTTCTCCTTCTCCTATGAAATGAGATACGCAGAACTAGGAAGTTCTGGAATGCCACGTGAATTTGGCGCATTATGTGAGATTTGAGTAGTTCTAAAACGTGCTATTTAACATCCTAATCCCTTTGTTTGCCATAAACCTTTGTTTATCATATTTCATTTCAAATATTTATTTTCGATAAAAATGAAAGAGCAGTAACTGATAAAAAGTGATATGGAAAGTGACTTTACACACTTAGCAGACAATAAATACGCATCCATAGCAGGAAAATTAACTTTATATTACAGAATGTCAAAGGATTAATTCATAAGCATTAAGAATTTCTTATATAGATTAAAAATCCTTTTGTAGTATAATTTTGAATCAAAATGTCGAGCCTGTTTGGTGTTTCTGTGAATCAGAATTTCTGTAAATCACTAATTAATGATTCGATTTTCATTTTCATTTAATATATGTTTGATAAGATGAAAAACTGTAAAACAATTACTGAAAAAATTTGCAGTCAAAGAGAAGGTGTAAAATCGAATCTGTAAATTAGTTTTGATTTAGAAATTCGATACTAAACGTCAGAAATTTAAGCGAATGTTTATAATTTTAAAACTTATGCAAAGAAATGCTTGTATTTATTGATCTAATATTAAATTATTGAAATTATAATAAATCACATCACCAGGTTATGTAAAAATTGCTATGAAATTACCATGCGCATTCTCATTGAATGATGGTAGTACATGGTTATTGTTAAAACAAGATAAGTGATGTCATCAGTGGTATGAATTATAATTCAATCAGGTAATGAATTGTAATTGATCACCTAAAAGAGTCTTTTATCATCACTATCACAATTAAGATACTAAATATAGAATATGCTAAAAAATATAACAAAAAGGAAATCTGAAAGCTTTCAGATTACTTTTGTATTACTCCCAAAAAGGCGTTTTTTTAACGTTTCGTGTCTTATTTTTATTTATTAAATGTCATGTTCTTCGCACTTAAACCACACAAAATTGAATTCAACAACAATATCACAAAATATTTAAAAACAGGAAAACAGCTTATCTTAAGAATTTCCGATAGAATGTCTCGCGCGCTGAAGATAATTTTTTTTTTTTTTTTTTTCTCTCTCTCTACAATGTTGCCATTGCTCGCTTTGAAAGCGCTGAGTTTGTTAATGAAAAATTCGTTAAACTTTAAAAAAAAAAATTGAAATAGTTACTAAAACAAACACGAAATCCAAAATTCAGGCTTCCAAGTACCTACGTTCGGTTGGAGGACTACATTATTCAAAATTTGATGGCTCTAGGTACTGTCGTTTTTTCACAGTGCGAGACACATTCATACATTCATGCAGATTCTTCATTATTTAGTTTCTTTAAATATAATACAGGGCGATAATATTTGGTGGTAACAGTTTGAAAAGTGAATCAACGCAAAAAGTGAAACAACGCAAAATGCCGTTTTTAGACTAATAGCCGTTTGGTTCTAACACCCCTTTGGGCTTGAAAAAAAAACTCGCTTTATTCTAATAAGATTATCATATTGCCCTCATTAATCTCATTGTTATTATTACTTGTAATAGAGCTGTTACAATTAAATGATTACGTTTCGTTTAAGGTTTGATTTGTTTTATTTTATTGTGGAAAAGCAGTCGAGCGCTATCTGCCCAGGGGAAGGGACGCCTTTGTGGAAAACTTTCAAAGGAAAACTGATTCATGTGTATGTTACACAAGGAGAAACCACGAAAGCGCCCATGCATCCGTTCGTCGGGTTTCGAACGCCGAACTGAATTACCAGTGTTCAGCAACTTTACCCTTATGTCGCTGGTGGGTAACCTTTTGTTTGAGAAAGTTCATTCAGGCCTTGCTTTTGAAACGAGTAGTTTGGTTCCGTTTACGACTGTAATGTAGCTCAGGAAATCGGTTCGAAGAAATTTCCAAATGTCAGGAATTAGGTTCATTGAATTTATTTCTATTGGCTTAATTGTATATTGAAAGGGAAATGAATTCCTTTAATCTTCCTTGATGTAATTTAGTAAGTTTTTGATCTTGTGTGGCTGATATCTGTAAACAAACTCACTATGATGCTTTATTTGTTAAGATATATGAGTAAACATAATTAAGTTCCTATCAGACAGGTACACATTAGATCAATTGTAGTACAAACAACTACCGAACTTAGCGAATTATATTAGCATGCCAAAGAGCTCATTGTTGGGTATTGCATTTTCACTCTTTACGTTAATGTTGTACTAATTAAATCTTCACCTTTAATACTAAAAATCCTATGCAAATGACTCAGCGAACCTTTCGCAAGAAATTAATCCCTGTTCAACTACAAGAGCAGTCCGTAATTATAGCTCCTAAAATCCAGATTAATGAAAAAAAAAAAATAAATAAATAAAAAATACTCACATGTTGTATTTACCAGATATTGATAAACATATTTTCTAAGCAGCTTCGCATAAGCGCAGTTTATAAAGAGTCTTAGAACTGTCACTACTTTGACGTAATTTTATCCAGCAGTGCAGGAGTGGTAAATAATTTAAAACCACACTCTGAAAAGGTAATTTTTAGTCTATCATGTGAACAAGGCCGTCGTAAGGTGTGATGGTGCCTGTGTGACGATCTTTGGTGGTGCCTCTGTTATTTGCCAGCTATTATTACGGCACAAAAATTCATCTAATAATTATTGTTGCGGATTTTAAATTTAGATAGCTATTTTTAGTAGAATTAAAACTAAAATTGTTTTATATCCCCGTGCAATGCAACACTACACATATTTTAAGAGAAAGCTACGCCGGAAAAGTAAAAATATAGGATCACGCGCATTTAACATTTAATAAATAGATATATCGTAATTTATATTTAAATCGAATAAATGCAGGTGACTACTATGTTAGCTGCAACCGTCATTCTACTGTTTTGCTTTACAGAAATTTCGAGAAAACAGAAATTACCAGAACCTTCTCGCGACCGATTAAAAAACCTGAAAACGCCGGAGAGAGACATCTCAGCTCAGTAGCTGTTTAGTGAGTTGTTGTTTACTTAGTTGCTGAAATTTTGCTAATCGGATTAGCTTTCTCTGAGCTTTGGATTGCGTTCCTTTCTAACGTTTTTAGTAATTTAACTAAAACGTGATATTGTGATATTGTAAGAATATCTCTGAGGAAAATTTCTAGTATTTTGTTATATTTCTTTTGATAAGAATAAATTGTATTAAGTTTTTATCGGACTTGTGCATTCAACCTATTACGAATCCATAAGTACGCAACACTTTTGGCGTCAGGAGTGGGGTTGAATGCCAATAACAATAGCGATGGAAGAACAATTAAGGCAATTGCTGGCAGCCTTTGCTGCGTTCAAAGATGAGGTGAATGTTGGCCAAAAATCAGTTAAAAAAGAGATGAAAGCTCGCCAAGTAAAGATGGAAGAATCGGTTAAAGAAGTGATGATCGCCGTTCAAAAAAAGATCGAAGCTGGTTAAGAGGAAATAAAAAATTAAATTACTTGCATAATAGGATACAAATTTGAGGCTACGGAAGGCAGAACAGACGCTGTTGAAAATAAAGTTGGAGAAATTCAAGAAAGAATTTCTTCTGTGAAAGAACAAATACAGGAAAGAGTTTCTCTGTTGAGCAACGAATCGAAGGAAGAGTTTCGGCCGTTCAACAGCGAATCGAACAACAAATTGAAGAAAAAGTTTTTTTTCCCCTTAGTTTCTTCAGAGAAGAAGACTAGTTTAATACACATAAATTTATATTATGTATAAAATATGAGCTTATAAATTAAAGATAACAGATAGATAAACGGAACACAAATTCAGCTGAAGCTAAAGAATCAAAACGTTAAAAAAAAAGGTGGAAAGAAAAGTTTTGTTTAACTTTGAAGAAAACATATATTGAATAATAGAGTAATTCATAAAATACCTTATATAACTTGCATCATTGACATCTACTATGTTGGAAGAAATATGAGGAGGGGTTACAGTTTTGGAAATTTGGAACCTGATATAAAAATGCATAAACATTTTGCAAGCACAACAGAGGCGTAGTTAGGGTTTCCAGCGCTCGGGGACAACTGAAGATTTTGCTCCCCTTTCTATGTGCCAAGAATGGAAAACATTTCATTAAAGAATTTCGTAGCATCAATTGGGCGCCGCCTGGATGCTGCGCCCGGGAACAGATGTTCCCCCTTGCCCCATCCTAGCTACGCCACTGAAGCGCAATAAATTAACGAGAAAACTCACTGACATGTATGTGCAGATTTGAAAGTAAGGCATGTACCTTTTGGACCACCAGGATGAATGCGCAGATTGCTGTTGCCTTTTGAACGGGTGGGAAAGTAAAGCCAAAGAAAAACATAATATCTCCCCCCTCCCCAGTGGCGGAACTAGAACTCTTGGGCCTCTATGCAAAAACATTTTGGGGCCCCCTATTAAATTTACAGCACTCCCCGGCCCAAATTCGATGATTCCAGGAGCCAAAATTTTGATGATGGTTTTTATCAGATAATAATTAAAAAATCCGATATGGACACCACATGACTTCCTTGTATTAAATTATACACATTTTCTTCTGCACTTCATCTAAACTTACTTCCTTGAATGATTCAAATTTAATGAACCGATCTCTGAAGGCAAGAAGAAAATGACATCGAAAATTGAAAATTTTGAACTAAATATCCCAGTCAGTTTTTGTCGCACAGAAGTCAAACTTCTTGTAATTTATTTTTTTCATGAATTTAACACTTTTCCAAATACAAGACCGGAGGAAAATTTAAATTTGGTTATATATCGATTTTTTTTTTTTTTTTTTTTTTTTTTTTTCAATTTATTATTGGTAAAACATTTTTCGTCCTGGGAGACTTCTGAATGGAAAGCTATGACCTTCAACCAATGAATGTGAAAATAAAGGTCGGATAAAGAATTTTAAGCCGGGTAAGAGGGCGGATATATATTCTACAAATTGCAATAAAAAAGTGAAGTGCACAACTGCAATAAAAAAGTGAATAGCACTCCTATATACAAAACTTCAACGCTCTACGGCTAATCGTCTTTGAGAGTTATGCCAAATATATATCTCTATCTCTCTGTCTATATCTATCTATTTCTCTCTATATATAGATAGATATACATACCTATGTACCTATGAATGTGCAAATGTCACGCAAAAAGAAAGAGTCCTTTATTCTGTCCGTACTTACAGAAGTCATGAATAAAAAACGTCCAAATGGATTTGGAAACGGTCAAAATGGATATTTCCGTTGAAATATGATACGCGACATTTTGGTATTATATGTAACACTGAATTCAACTTTTATGAGGGCACCTTGCCCTTGGTCATAGCATTTGTAAAAGAATGTGTTTTCTTTTAAGATTAATCATGTGAATGTAGTTCGCAGAACATTCAAGGGCACCCTAAACATTCGGGCCCCTATGCGACGGCATTCTTTGCATACCCTTATTTACGCCACTGCTCCCCCCCCAAAAAAAGAGGCATTCCATCAACTAAAAATAGTTTACATTTTTAGGAAATGCACTTAGCTCTTCTTCTTAGTATTCGTTTTCTGGATTTCCGATTTAATTCTTTCCAAATAAAATTTTGATGAATGTAAGTGTATGACCAACGCATCCATCATAATATATGTACAACAGAAACATAATGTAAGTGGAGATTAAAGATCAGTTTGTTCGAATATGATAAAGCCAGCAAGGATGTCTGCTTAAGAGATAAGGTCCTTTAGAATTTCTAAGAGAAATTGGCTCATATTCACGCTATGCATGGGGTAAGCCACGAAAGCCAGCCCGTTTGCCTGAAATAGAACTTCCAGTATTTAGGGTCTTAATCAGCTACAGTTGGACCTGATGTAATATGAAAAGAAATCTTAAAAATGCTGTTCGGCTGGTGCTACGATGATGAGTACTTTTAGAAATGATGACTAGAGACCACATATCGAAGAAAAACGATTAGAATTATATTATAATATAATAAAAATAATGATATTTATATATTTTTTAACATATAAAAAGTTAATATAATAATATGTAACAGAGCAATCTGATAACCGAAATTGAAATCACCACATAATGTATTATAAAGTTCAGCACTTAAAATCTTCGTAATAAAAAATAAATTTAATTGTTCTAAATAATAAACGCGGGAATACAGTAAACAACGAATTTCCTTTATTGAATTATGGTATTTCACTTGGAAATCGCAAGAGTCCGAAACTGTTCTTAATCTTCAGAACATACGATACAATTCTGGAAAATACTAAATTTAGACCCTTCAATACTTTTTGTAGCTATCATTTTATTATTTCTGTTAGCTTTAAATTTACCCCCTTACTTTTATTTATCTCAAAATGGTTACTAGCATTTATTAGTAGTTGTTGTTTATACTTCTACTAGCTTCAGCGTTTTCTTTTCCTCACTCACAGACTTTTATCTTCAATTCTATATTCTCAAAATGTTCGAGTTTAAAAATTTTTTCCTTGAGAATATAGGCATGAAAGCTGGATAATCAATCAGTAAGTTTCGGTTTTCGATTCCGAATGAAAAACTACTGGCTGCCTTCTATTTCTTCATTTTTTAAAATCTTTACTTCTCCCTGTCCCCTTTTACATAAGGTAGTTTTTCTAGGAACGTTGTGCCCAAGACTTTCATCCAGCACTCTTGCGAGCGATGCATACCGCGTAAATAAATATGCATCACTTTTAGATACTAAAACGTTACGTTTTCATGCATTGAAAAACGCGGATTAAATGATAAAAGGAGCGATCAATCGCCAACTTGGTACAACCGTATAGCAGACGGAAGTAGAGCATGAAATCCAGCGATACCGGCATGATTTTTCGCCTCAAGTACATTTTTGACGGTCGGCATACTTCGTTCCGACGAGATGGTCGCTTTCCTCGCACATCTAAATAGCTAAAGCGTCTGGAAACGCCTTTCTTATTTTAATTAAGCACAAGCAACAAGAAGAAATGCCGGTTGCGAAATTGCATTTAGCTTCTCTTAACCATCTGACATTTGACTTTGGCGAAGTAGCAATGGTGAGGTGACAGCTTCATTTAAACCGGTACGAAATATTATCTTATAGTGTAAATACAGTAATTCCGAACTGTAATTTTTGATATTTAATTTTTTCCAGCTTTGTAGAATAAAATATCACATCAGTTTTTTTTTTTTTTTTTTTATACTCTATTATAATATAGTTAGTATTTTTTTGTTTGTTTTTTATATGCGAGATGTTTGATAAATTAAGAGAAATAAATTTGTCCTATTAAATAACTCTCGACTTTTATAGTTATTTTTTTAATATTATGACATGAAAATGTTCTCATAATTGTTCCATGAAATTCAGTAATTGACATGTAAAGCAAAAAAATGTATTAGGTTACAAGAATTTAAATATATAACGAGAGTTTTTAAACTAGCATAAAATTATACTTTTAGTACATAACATTATAATCAGTTTAAATGAGTTTCCTACTTGAAAGTGTAAAATTTCTACAATTCTGGATTCTTATGTATATAACTGTAAATTACCTTTCTCCCATTGCTCGGATTTTGTGCTCGCATATTCATCCCGGGGGGGATTTTTTATTTTTACTTTTATTGTTTATCCAAGGTTTAAATTATAATCTCGCAAAATTTCAAGGTATATTTACGTCAGATTTCCTTTAAGGAATTAATTCTGTTTTTCTTGGAAAGTGCTTTTTTCAGTACCCAGTATAACAGGAATACATCACTGTATAACCGTAAAACACTCGTTATAACATAAATGTTAATTAAAAAGATCACTAAAATTTTTATTTTTAAAATAAGTGCAACATGCAATATTTTATTAAATGTTTCATGTTTGCATCTTCCTTATATCTCCATTTTCAACTAAATAATTCATGTTCTTAAAACGTATAGTATTTTGTTTCAGTAGGAAAGGTTTTTAAATTGCTGTCTTAAAATATGAGTTATCAGTTTCTTAATTAGTAACAGGCAAGTAATGTGTGTCATGTAATTATAATATTTGCTTCAAATTGTTTATATATATATATATACTGATTATATTGTATTCATTAACTTTTTGTATTTGTGTCTTGAATATTCTTTTGTGATACAACTAATAACATAAACGTAAGAATGTCATAAAAGTATGTATAAGTATGTATTTTCAGCCTTTTTGAGATTCAGGAATAATGAATATAAATATTAATTAATATTTAAATATTTCCATTATTGATGATTGAACATTTAAAATTTTTCCTTTTCCAAGCCTGAGAAAATGTTCTAAAGCAGCAGTTATATATTAATTTGAAAAATTAATTTAACTGTATACTATATTATATATCCAGAGTGATTAATATTAGAATATTTTGAATATATCAAGGAGGAATCATTATCTCATTTCTAGAATGTTTCGTCTCGATGGAATGTTTGTGAGAAAAACAGGTGGCTTGTAAATGTCAGTAAGGTTTGTCAAGAGCGACCTTCACCAAGATCGCACCACATTTAGTGGGTGTGTGTTTATTCATATGCACGTTCAAACGATTTCATTGGTTAGATTTAGCATCTGGAAAATTCAATGGTATATTTCTTTGCGATAAAAAATTTGAAATTTACGTGTAGACATATAATAAAAGGATAATTTTTTTCTTAGTTTGGAAACTGTTTAAATGTTCTTTTCAAATATATTTAGATTATTTTTTATTTTCTCTATTGAAACTCGCACCACACTTATGTAAAGTATTTGAATATCAAATGCTTGTAAAGACTAGTTTGACAACAAATATTTATTTATCTTTTTTAATATTTTTTTGTAACTTGATATTCCATAGAAAATATAAGTATACGTGGTTCTTTTGTTAAAATGCATTTAATATGCAATAGTTACTTGAAGTTAATAGTGTTGCATTTTAATTAAAAATATAATATAATAAGGGTACTGTACCTTTATTATTCCAAAAGAGTCTATGCTGATGTGAGAAATAAAAGTTTCTAAATGAGCAATCTTATAAACAACAAATTTCTTACATTTTTCCCCCCCTTTCAGAATTTATGTTTGTAAACTTAAATATTTTCAATTGTTTATATTAGTAATACTACATATAATACTATATTAAAAGTTATATATAAAGATACTTTAAATATAATATATAAAAATAACCATATTTGCTTCAAAGTAGGGTATTTTACAATTTAATTATCTTTCTTGTGAAATACCTTTAATATAAAGTATTTTACTGCAATATTGGTAAATGGAACAATTGCTTTGAATCTGTTGTTTATACAATCACCACGAAATTCCTATCAGAACAAGTAAAACAAAAACTTGCTTTTCAGTAAGTTATTAATTGATTTTCCATGTAAATGCCTAATCACATAACCATTCTGAATTGAGAGAGTTGCACTAATATGTAAATACCCTCTAAACTACTTAAATTATATAGCACAGATAATGTAGCTCCGGAGAAAGTTATAAGAGATGCTGATATTAATACGAGAAGTACTGTATTTAGTAAATCATTTCATATTCTGGCCTGTGCTCATAATGTAGATATAATTGCAAGATCTACAGCTGTGCTGGGAGAGGCGTTTTTTGGTACTAGAGAATTCAGACATGAAAATGAATCTCAAATAAATGGGAAAAACTAAATATATATATATATATATGAATGTTGTATGATTTTAAATTATTAGTTCAAAATCAAGTTATTCTAATAATTTTAGTAGAAGTATCTAAAAAGAGTGAACCCATAGGTAGTAAGTTAGACTCTGAAAATTGTTTTAAAGTAACTTGAATGTAAATTGTTACAAATGTTTTATGGGGACTTGAATTAAATCATGAATAACAAAATTTCAATTGGGAAAAAGAAATTAAATTAAAAGCAAGTAATCATTGCCATTGATCGAAAATTAGTTGACTTTTCAAGGGGAACAAACCAATTCCCATTCCATGAACTATTAATAAATAAATAAATACGAAGGTATTTTGTCCTTTACTCAAGTAATAAGGTGATGCCAAACTGGTAAAAAAAGTTAGGCCAAATATTTCCGTGAAGTGAAGGGAACCAGAGCCAATACAGAGTACCAAAGAACTCATTCTGATTAAGCATTTTCGATACAATTTTAAGTGAAAAGCAATTTATGCAGTAAAATTGATAAATTACTTGAGTAATTGTCCACCGACACCCTCGTGTTTATGCATTTTAATTCAAATCTATTTGTAAAAAATTAAACATTGGAAATTGGAATTATGAAATATTACTTAAAGTAATTGAAATAAACATTGGAAAATTAAGAAATATTAGAAATATAAGAAATATAATGCAATCTTTGCAAAAACTTACTACCTATGGGTTCACTCTTTTTAGATACTTCTACTAAAATTAATATTAGGAGATAATATAATCAATATTTCTTTAGTAAATACTATATATATATATATACTGTGGTGAAAAGGAAAATCCACCTAAAATATTTGAGATTGGACCATTTAAATTTGAATCTGTGAAAAATTTTACCTATTTGGTCTCTGAAATTAACTATCAAAATGATGTTAATCCTGAAATCAGAAAAAGGATTATTACTGCAAATCATTGCTTCTTTGGACCTCTTCTGAAATCCTGTCTTATAAAGAGAATGACAAAAATTCTAAAATACAAGGTATTAATAAAATCAGTCTTAACGTATGTTTCAGAGGTGTAGATTCTGACCGTGAGGGAGGAGAGAGACTTAGTGATTTTTAAAAGGAAGATTCTAAGAACTGTTTTGGTACTGTGTTGGAGAATAATATATGGCATAAATGATATAACTTTGAACTCTACAAAATTTATAAAGCTGAGGATATTATTAAATCCATACAATTAAGTAGAATGAGATGGGCTTGTCATTTCCTGAGAATGAATGCAGAGAGAACAGTCTTTTAGACCTTTAAAACAACTTCGGCTTATTGAAGATTAAAAGGAAGACCTAAGAAAAAATGGATTGGACTGCCTGGATGAGATTTATCCATTCTAAAAATTAAGAAATTCCCTTAGGCATATAATCCTAGTGTTTGCTTTGTCATTATTAAATAATTCAGTCCCATCTTCATTATAAGTAGTTACAATGGGAGGGGAGTTCAGGGGACCATTAACATTAAACTTTGTGAGCTATTATTGCATTTTAAAATTTAAGAAATTCCTTTATTTTCATTTTGTATTAAATAGTTTGACAAAATTGCCAAAATCCCCCCCACACACCAGTTGTGAAAAGACTTTTATTACTTTTTGTTCTGTAGAAGTTAAAATTCTGTGGATGTAATATATTACAACTTTGTTTCTAAATCTCAATCTGATCTTCTTTGTGAAAGATGTTAAATATTAAATGCATTTTCTACAGACTAATAAATGCCACTTTGCCTCATGCTGAAAATGAAATAATTACCCATTGTTTTTATATATTTAATGTGACATTAATAACCCATATTATTGTCTGCTGTCAAAAATTTATGGTCACTGTAAAAATTATATGAAATTTGCCAAAAATAGATCCCATTGTTCAACAAGTCTAAAGAGTTAATTTTTAGAAGCACCTTTGTTCATTTTGTGCTAAGAATCTTTTACTTCAACTAAAGTTTAGAGATGTTTTACTTTTGCTATTCAGTTGACACTGTGGATTTTCTTTAATCTATCTTTCCACTTTCATTTCAAATTCAGATTTAATGTTAATGCTATAATGATTTTTCCCCCCTTTAGGTAAATACATCTTTGAAAATATGCAGTCAAGACTGACTCAGAGTTCTGAAGAAAACACTTTACCAGAGCATGAATCATCTAAAAAATCTCAATCATTTTTGTCTTCAGTTTTCAGTAGTCACAATGCATTTAGCAGAAAGAATATATTTGCGACTTCAAATGAAGAGAAACAATGGAAGAATGAAAAAAGCCAAGGATTTCTTAGTTCTGTGATAAGTTCAAATACTACAGGACTTTTAACTGATTTGTCATCAAAATTAGAAGCTGCTTTAAGTTTAAGTTTAGATGCCTTAGATTCTGATTCTTCTTCAAGAAGTGATGAAACATCGCGTAAGAACTCTGCAATTAATGAGGAACTGTCCAATAGTAGCTCCCAAGCAGATATTCGTCGAATTAGTCTGCCTATCACTAAAACTGAACAGCTAGCAAGGCATCGTTACACTAAACGTAGGGGTACTAAACATAAAGATAGATCTGTGTATGGGCAGCCTGAAATAAGTCCATTTGAAATAAAGCAAAAATCTTGGAAAGATCATTCTCAGGAATCTCTTGATACAGTTGACAGTGGTCAGAGCTTAGGCAATAGCAGTAGTTTATCTGCTAGTGCTACTGATTATAGGACATCCAGAAATGATCCTTTCTATGTCTTCCGCCATACTGAATCTGTTGGCATTGGCAGTGAATCTGATCCTTGTGGTCAGAGTACTAGTCTTGATTCGTCCGATGCAGAGTCAATTCCAGAAGGCCGAGGAATTGGTTTTGGAAGATCTGGTTCTGGCAGTTCTCTCCATTCTTGGGCTTCTAGTCCAAGTAATGATAGCCAGCCAGATGATGTTACCTTGGATGCAATGGAATTCATGAGGCACTTTGTAAAAAAAGTTTTTGTTGATTGGTAAGTTTATTTTTATTATATTTTAGAATCTTTTCAGTTTCTTCCTTTCCCTTAGACTAATTTCTGCCATTTATTCATAGTTCTTCTATATCATTTGAAGAAAAGGCAAAATTTGGAGAGCTTTGTCGTCATGAAATTGGCAGGCTTTGGTTTGCTCGATGTGTCAATGGTCAGGTAAGTGATATGTAGTTTGTTTGATATACCCTTATGAAAATTATAAAATTATTTTAATAAAATTATAAGTATATATTACATTTTTCAGCGCGTCCATAATAATTAGTCAGGGAATCAACTTTCTATAGCTTGGTACAGTATTTTGCTATCGTTTTATTTTGAATGTGCAGAAGCGGATGATTTTTCTCCAGCAAAATCTATAATGAATATGTGTTTCACCTTTTATCATGAAAGTAAGTAAATTCTGGTATTATAATAAAGTGAAAATAATTTATTATAATTAAGTGAAAATAATTTCTATCTTTGTAATAACTGAATATTATTGTCTCCAATCTGTTATAGCTGTTATGTTAGTGCTCTTTGTTATAGCTGTACTAGATGCAATTTATTCCATGTATCATGTTTATATTCTTTGCATCTGTGTTCCATATTTGTAATGATTGAAATTTAGTAATGTGTTGCAGTTGTAGTAACTATCATTAGTATCATTTAAGCATTTATAGCTCTGTAAGCAGTTTGAGAGAATCAGCTAAAAGTTATTTTTTTTAATCAAGAAATACTATTAGAAAAAACTTAACAATTATGTGGTGACACTTTATTTCATTTTAAGTTTGTGATGCTTTCTTCTTAAAAGCACTGTAAGGATTTATTTAGTTTTGCTAACTAGCTATTTTGTGTTAAATACCTTTGCTATCTTTCTTGCTTTCAATTTTTTCGCCAGCATCCAGATTTTTAGTTTGCGTCTATTCAGATGAGGTCAAAAGAAGATAGTATTTAAAGGAAGGTTTTAGAGAGTAGAATCGGAGTGCATTCTGCCTGCTGAAAACCATGTTTACTAGCAGCGGTGTTGTATTATTCTCGCCATTAGGCTCGTCACACCAATATTAGGTTTGAGCCAACTTGCACATTTTGTGTCAGAGTTCGCCTTTTAGCTAACTTAAGGTAATCTGTCATAATTTAAAATTAATTTTCTTTTGATTTAAGCCATAATTGTTGGCTATTTCTGTAAGCATGAGCAGTGCCTTCTGTTAAACTTTTATCTGAGTTAAATAAAAGGAGCTTTTACACCCTTCATGTGTTTCTATTGTAATTTCAAAGACATAATGATAAGTCACTCTAGTCTTTAGGGTTCTTCTCTAATTTATGCTACCAAAGGAGATGAAACTCTATAGCACTTGTACTCTGTATGCACCCTAACACTAATATGTGTTTGTGTGAATACAGCTGAGCCTTGGATCATGAACAAATTTTCCAAATGAAAAAGTCTTGATGATGAATGATGTCTGAAAATATATACAAGTAAATTGGCAACTAATGATACTCCAAATTGCAGGTATGCAAGGGAGAAAATTTCTTTAAAACACAATGACAGAAGGAAAGATTTTCTTAGTTATTTGGTTTGTGAAATTTGTGTAGAATATGGTAAGATGCATTGAGAATTATAAACTTGATAAAGCAGTAGTAAGACATGGCATAAATATTTGCATTGACAATCCTATGTATTACATTAGGAGCATTTAAAAACTTAGAAACAAATCATATTGAACAAATTTTTAATGGAAAAGGGTCCAGTGATTCTCAAGCAGAGGCATGTAGTACTGAGAGGAAACAAAATTCCAGAAAAACAGTAGCTATCTGATATTTTTAGATTGGATATTCATTTCAAACTTCATAACATTTTGTTCCTCTGGTTTCCAGGGATCAAATTTCTCTCATAGCAGTGTGATAAAATTTAATTCAAATTTGCCTATTTTTTATTTTTAGAATCGTATTAAGTGTTTTGTGTATGTGTTAGATTTAATGAATTCTATCAGTTTTGGATTATGAATGTAATTAAAAATATTCTTTCCTAAGGAGTCATTTGGGATTTAGAAAAAGATTAATTCATTAAATGTTAATTCCTGTGGGGAACATTGTTTTGGCTTATGAATATTTTGGGGTGACAAACTCTCTTCAGGAATTAATTGAGTTCATGAACCAAGGTTTCCTAGTATAAAGTAATTTATCATTTATTTCTAAATTTTTAATCTACCAGTGCACAAGTTGCTAAATTTGCTTAACACTAATAATTCATTTATTATTTGGATCTTGATAAGTGGACTGGTGGACTGGCTGCAGAGTTTTTTTTTTTTTTTTTTTTTTTTTTTTTTGGTAACATGAATGTGAGCCAGACTGCCATATCTACCAAGTTCTTCACAAAGATAGCTGTTAGGCAGATCTGCCCTTAGGCAGATAGCTGTTTGCTTTTTTCAGAGTGTGGTATTTAGACCATTTATAAATTACTTTTATTGAAAACTTTTGACATATCAAAGTCACATATATGAAGCTGTTTTATATGCAGTACCTCTTTTCCTCATGTAAAATACACCTATGTCCAAAATTATCTGCAGATGGATAAAATCAAGGATTTGTCGAAAATGTGAACTGTAATTTTCTGATTTTATGTGAAATGATATGTAACATCATAACACATAAAGAAAACAATTTAAGAGCACTGCATATCATATAAAACTGGAGCATGAAACAATAAATATTATAAAATATGTTACAAGGAAAGTTTAAAAAATAATAATAATAATAATAATAATAAGTCTTAGGAAATAAGGAATGTGACTGCCCTCGACTCAGACATACATATCACAACTTGTTTTCATGCTGGTTATAACATATCACAGTTTGGGGAATTAAGTTTCATTCCTCCAGCAATGTGATCTTTAGGGCATTTACATTTCTAAGACGAGGATATTTCTATGCAACTGTTTATCCAAGATTTGTTCCTTTAAGTTCTGTGTCAAGTTAAGATCTGAAGATTTTGCTGGCCATGATATTTGTTTAAGTTTTCACTTTCAAGGCGGGCGTAGCTAGAGGGGTGCAAGGGGACATATGTCCCCGGGCGCAGAATCCAAGGGGTGCCAAACTGATGTTACGACATTTTAGAATTAAATGTTTTCCATCCTGGCCAAGCAGTTAGGGCGAGTGCCAGAAAATCTTCAGTGGCCCCTGAGGGGCGCTGAAATAATAGCTACGACCTGCTTTCAAGGATTCATCAACAAGCCCCATTGTAGCCATGTGGATTCGGTGTTAATTATTGTCCATAAATAAAAAATCAAATCCATATGCATGTCTTACTTAAGATTATCCTAATATCTCTGGCCGGTCACAGTCCAATGATGTAGGGGCAATGATTATTCCTATCCATACTGTCACATCTGCACTACTGAAATGGTCATATTCCATATGGTTTATGGTTCAAAGAAATATATTACATTCCTTACTCCCTCCAGATGTCCCTTTAAGAGCATGTTTATAATAAGATCTTAAGTTAAACCTCGACTTATCAGTAAGAATCTGGCAACAATGCTGTTAACGCCATTTCTGATGTACTTTGCACCAATTAAAGCAAGCCCTCATTTGTGGTGAATACATTGAAACATCTACCCTTGGATTTCTGGCATAAAGAAGCCTTTTGTATACAATATGTCATGATATATCAGTTCCAATGGCAGCTGCAAACTCTGAACTTAACTGCCGATCAGTAGTTAGATTTATTTATGACTTTTTCTAGTCCTCCTTACAACAGTTCCAGAATTTTGAAATTGTTTCCATAGCATAGACACTAACTATCTTGAAATATTCACACATCTTTCTGCTTCCATAATTGTCACCCTGCTTCTAAATGGCTAATGATGTCCCCTTTACAAAGTCTTCCAAAATGATGCTTCAGAGCCATAACAAACTATTTTGAATCCTTACATACTGAAATTAAATGCTGTACTGCAGAAATTTACTCAGATAGTCACTTTGCGCAACACTGCGAGATAGCTATACCTTGATTTTCATATCCGAAATCATCTGATCACTTTTGATTCAGTAGTGCTAATTGAGCTTGTCTTTCACACATTCCTTACAAAAATGGCTTATACATTGATTAGATATTTTGTAGAATTTCATTGTTTTTGTGTATGTAAAGATAAATTTGCACATGAATGTACTTTAAAGTTGATGTCATCTTAAGTCCAAAAGTGTTGTATATTGGGACTAATACAGAATTCATGAAAATTAGAGGGAGGGAAGATCA